ACAGTTTCTAGAGTTAAGACATGCATCTGCGATCTAATTTAAAACCTATTCAGATGTAAAAAAATAATTGGGAAAAATGAATAAAACCCAGAGAAGATAGACACATACATTTTGAAGAATATAATGGATACCTCCCTGTGGAAAAAAAAAGAAAATGAATAATGTATCAAGATGCATATTACATACAGCCTAACAAGACATTTCCTGAAGGTTTTTAGCAAAACGTAAGGTGATTTCTTGATTTACTTGGCTAAAATATTTCTCTCTTAGAAGAGAAAAGAAACAAAAAAGAACAGTAATTAGTATATCTCATTTGTACCAACAAGGATAAAGTAAATACAATGAAAACGGTGGGAGAAAAATGACAAATTTCATGTCAGAATTTGTAACAACCAAAATGGAACATGGCTGAAGAAGGATGGTCTCTTCAACACGTTGAGGATAAAATAGCTGTCAACCTTTAATTCTATATCCAGTAAAAATATCTTTCAAAACTGATGAGGAAAAAATATCAGACCAAAACAAAAGGTTTGCCACCAGCAGACGCTCACAAGAAAGAATTTACCAATGAACTTACAACAGAAAGAAAATAATCTCAGATAAAAGGTGTAAGACGCAAGTAGAAATGAAGAGCAAAGAAAATAGTAAATACATAGAATATTCTAAACTAACACTGATATACCAAAAAAAAAAAAATCCACTGAAGTTTTGTTTTTTTTTAAAAAAGTAAAACAAAAAACAATAGCATGAAAGTCAGGAGGATGGTAAATGGAGTTCACATGTATTCAAGTCCCTGTAATGACTGCAGAATATAAAAATTTTTTATTAAATTTATATTTTGGCAAACGTGTGGTAATTTCTAGAATAAAAAGACAGAATGTTTAATTTCCAAATGGTAGTGTGGGGAAGGGAGAAGGAAGGAATGCTACAATTTATCCAAAAGTAAACCAGGAAAGCCAATTAAAAAAAGCACAAAATAAGATGTTAGATACAAGCCTAAATAAACTAATTGAATGCAAATAGTAGATACAAATAAAAAATAAAGACTAACTCTAGATTGAAAAAAATCCTACTATAGGTTGTGGACATGACACATCTGAAAATATACAGAGAAAAAGGAAATAAAAAAATGAAAAAGCATATACCAGGCAAATTGTAAACAAAAGAAACCATGTATATCCATACTGATGTCAGAGCAAAAGAAATTTAAATAAGAGTGTAAAGGGAAAAAAATTAAAGCATTACTAAAAATATAAGCAGTCAACTTCATACAGATAAAAGACTTGGTTCATAGCAGAAAAAAAGTTTATTTCTGCATGTACCTAATAGTCTCTAGACTGTCATTTTTTTTTTCTTAATTGGCAGATTTAGAAGAAACAGAAAAATCTATATCCATAATGAGGCATTTTACATGTATTTCTCTAAGTAATTGAGAACAAGGTGACAAAAGAAAAAAATCCAGTAAAGATACAAAAGATTTAAAGTACAGTTAGCCCTTGAACAATGTGAGGCTTAGAGGTGCCATTCCCCTGTACAGTTGAAAATCTGCATATAACTTTTGACGCCCCACAAACTTAACTACTAATGGCCTACTGTTGACTGAAAGACTTACCAATAACATAAACAGTAGATTATCACATATTTTGTAAATTATAGGTATTATATACTATATTCTTATGATAAAGTAAGCTAGAAAAAAGAAAATGTTACTAAGAAAATCATAAGAGAAAATACATTTACAGTATTTATTGATACCATAAGTTTATGTCACCTCTTTATAGATGAATCATCTATCAGTACCTACATCAGTACTATCTTATGCAATACAAAACACTGTGGATATTATACATATTACTAATACTAGACATCAAAAATGAAAAGATTACATGAAAAGGAAATTCATGAGGTCTGAAGCTGGCATAGCTGCAGTGACAGCTTTACAAATTTTTTTTTTTTACAATGGTCCTTACACTGGATTGATTTACCTTAAAATGGCAGGTATAGTGGAATGAATTATGCCCCCCCAAAACTCACTGAAGCTTGAATTGTGTCCCCCAAGTTTTATGTATTAGAAACTTGGTCCGCACTGTGACCGTTATGAGGGTGGAAAATTCTATTATGGTAATTAAAAAGTGGAGCCTTTAAGGAGTGATTAGATTGTAGGGCCATGCCATAGTGAATGGATTAAATATGGTGGTCGGGGGCATTGTTCTGAGGGCTTTAAAAGAAAGGAGAAGAGAGACTCTCTTGCTCTCTCTGCTCTACCGTTTTGGCAATGTGATACTCTGCCATCACTGTCACCACCAGCAAGGCTCTCACCAGATGTCTTCCCTGGACTTTGGACTTCCCAGCCTCGGAAACTGTAAGCAATAAATTTAGTTCTCTTTATAAATCACCCAGTTCCAGGTGTTTTGTTACAAGCAACAGAAATGAACTAATACAACAAGTAACCACAGCTGCAAACCTCAATCTACAGTACACATCAAGCAATTCAACTTTTTCTGGTAGTGCCATGACTTTGCTCTGCTTTCTGGGAGCATTTCCAGCATCACTAGTGGCACTTCATATGGGTCACAACACTGCACTAAACACAATGAAAAATAACATGAGAACCAAGAGAGATCACTGGTTACTGTTATACACAATTTACTAGAGAGAGGAAATGCTTAGGAGAAGATGATTAGATCACATGGTGTTTTAAGGGTATATTTGCAACACTTGAGCGGGTCACCACAACAGCAATAGGAAGTGGCTACGAAATTATTACAGTATTACAGTATTTAGTACAGTTAACTTTATGCAATTGATTTAATAATGCATCTTTACGTTTGTTTACATTTCTCTGGACTATGAATAGCACCAGTCTGCTTCTGTGCATAAGTTTTGGTAAATTAACTTTTTATAATAGACTTGTGTATATTTTATGGTAACAAATGATAAAATAGTATTGATAAGCTAGTACTGAAGCTAACTGCTAACCACCCTGGATAATTAAATAAGCTAAATGATAAATGGTGGACTGAAACAGACTGCTGACTATCCCAGGTAATTGGCTGACCTGAAAAACTGCCTCAAGTTCCTTTCAAAACAACAAAATGCCTTTAAAGTTTCTTGTAATGGGCAGATGATTGTTAACCACTATGGGTTAAGTCGTCTTACCAAAACTTCAGAGCCCATGAAGGGAGATGGACATGCACAAAAGATACCCTAGTGACATCCAGATGGTACTCAGAACCTAAGCTGTGCCTTCCCACAGAGCAAAAATTCACAGCTTTATCAGAACCAGAACAGTGGACAATTAAAAAGTGAGGGGTCCATCACGAATTTTTGCAAAGCAGAAAAAGGAGCAGGACTGTTAATATGCTTATTTCCCACCAATCAACTCTTTCAATTTGCATTTTTGTAATTATACCTATACCTCTCTATACTTCGAGTTTCCCATAAAACAAGTCACACTTCTAGGTCAGCGGGACAGATCTGAGCCTGTCTTCTTGCTGGCCAGACCCGCAATAAGGGGGTCTTTTTCTTTTCACAAAACACAGTGTCACAGTCTTTGGCTTTCTGTGTGCATCAGGTAGCAAGCCCGTTGCTCAGTAAGAGTGTCTACACATATTTTATGCATTTGTGACATACCTAACTTTTTCTTAATTTCTTCTTCCTTTTTTAATGTTTTCAATATTTCTAAGCTATGCAGTTCATCTGCGAATTTTTTCAAGTTATCACAAATCTCCAAAAAATTTTCCAATATATTAACTGAAAAAAATCCATGTATAAGTGCACCTGAGCAGTTCAGACCTATACATGATTAACAAATTTTCATCTGCGAATTTTTTCAAGTTATCACAAATCTCCAAAAAAATTTTCCAATATATTTACTGAAAAAAATCCATGTATAAGTGCACCTGAGCAGTTCAGACCTATACATGATTAACAAATGTGGCCTACCAGATATGTATAAATGTGAAAAACACAGGCTTTTTAGTACGTGTGGAACATTTTTTAAAAAACCATATATTAAGCCAGAAAGCAAGCTCCAAAATTATAAGCATTAAAATCATAGTCATCTTTATAATCACCTGTTAAAATTGAATCTATAATTTTAAACCTTCCCACAAAGAAATCTCCAACCCCAAATAGTTTTACTGTTAAGTTCTACCAAATATTTAAACAAATAAACACCAATCTTACACAAATTCTCCTAGAGAATAAAAAATGATAAAACTTTTCTTTTCTTTTCTTTCTTTTTTTTAAAAAGATGACCGGTAAGGGGATCTTAACCCTTGACTTGGTGTTGTGAGCACCACGCTCACC